AGCGGCCCCGGGGCTGGCACGGCCACGTCCTCCCAGGGCAGAGGAGGGCACGGCCCCCGGTTCCCCCAGCCCCTTTTCCCACGGAGGATTCCCACGACCTGGGACTCATCCTGTCCTGCTCACAGTGCACAGCCAGGCTCTGGCTGGACCTGAAGTGGGGCTGAGTGGGGGGATGATGGCAGGACTGAGGGTTCTGCCTGCCCTCATATGCCCATCTGCCTTCTGCCCAGTCCCTGCTCCCAGCCTGGGCTTGTGCTGGATCCCGTGCCAGGTCTCTGTGCTGTGCCATTCCCAGCCCTCAGGGTGTAGCACAGTCCCTGGCAGCTCCCTCACTCCACTCATCTGGGGAAACTGAGGCACAGGCAGAGAGCTGAGGCACAGGCAGAGAGTGCCTTTGCAACAGGCTCCCGTGTTGCCAGAGCTGCTAACAGGCTCCTCGCTTCATCTCTGCCAAGAGGTTGGGACATGGGGCAGGACAGGGTCTTGAGCCAACACAGGGGCAGGGGTCAGCTCGTGCTGTCCTCTCTGCCTGGGGCTGAGCTGGCTTTGCCCACACAAGGCTCTGTCTGGACTCAGCTTTCTCATCCACCCATGCTCCCACTCAGACTGGCACCAGTCCCCCACACCAGAGTGAGCCCCACACACAGGTACCAAACACAACCTTTATTTCTAAGGTCCACGAATGGCAAGTCCCGGCAGTGCAAGGTGTGAGGATGGAGCCGGCTCTGCCCTGGTTCACTGAACAGGCAAATCCCACCCAGGGGACTCCTGGGGAATAAATACAGCAATCATGGGGGCAGTCACACCTGCCCACCCCGGCCAGCACCCGCCTGCATCTGGTCCTGCACACTAAGTGTCCTGCACACTCTGTCTCAGGCCATGCAGCCAGAGCGGAGCCATGGGTCTCAGAGCCTCCTGTTCCGAGGCTTTATGGCAACTGGGCTCGCCTCTCCTTCCCAGCTCAGGGCTGGCAGAGCTGTTTGAGGACATGGATAACACGGCTGGAGGCACCGGGGGCACAGGGCTGGTGGGAGCTGCGGAGCAGCGTCGGCCTCGAGCGCTGGGCGTAGTGGAAGAGCTCCCGTGCAAACACCGGTTCCACCTGCAGAGGCACAGACCGATGGAGGATGGCCACAAATCCATGTCCCCCCACCGTGACAGCCCCAGTGCCTGGCTCAGGGCTCACCAGCCCCAGTGTGTACTCACGTGGGCCATGATGAGTTTCTGGAAGGGGTGCCCGACTCTGGTGGGGTATTCTTCCCCAAAGCACAGGTGGATCTGGTACTGTGGCATGAGCTGTCCGTTGTCCAGGTACTCCTGCAGCTCTGCAAGACACCAGCCCTGTCAGGGGTTGTGGGGTCCCCAAGAAGCCACTCTGGGGCAGGAACTGCCCTCCTTTCTGAGAGGATCAGGGTCTCCCAGGATGGCAGACAGGACTTACGCTGCAGGTACTGCTGCGTGTCCAGAAGCTTGTAGGTCTTCTCCCTCTCCAGCTTGTTGGGCCAGTTCTTGTGTGGGGCCAGTGGCCCATTCCAGTACACCCTGCCCTGGCACTGACGCTTCATGAAGACCCCCTCAGGTGCTACCCACAGCAGC